TAATACAGATATTCTTGCTGAAAAAGGTGTAGCTCCCCCAATGCATTTGGCTTGGTTTTTGGAACTAATCCATCAGATGATGGTCATGTTCATGTCAGTGTTGCATTGGTGTACAGTGATTGTATTCACACCTGCCTGACCATTTTCAGTGGATGCTAATACTATGTATGTATTTTTGAAGTATTTGCAAGATCCTCTGGATTGAGACTTGCTTTTTTTTATCATTGTTTTTAAATTGATTATTTCATGATTACTCGTTCAAAGAGGAAGCTGTTCGATTCCCAAGGGGGAAATTTAATTTAAGGTAGCCAGCAGACCATTCTACTGACCCATTATGTGGTTTGTACTCTGGTAAGGCAGGGAGGAAGGGTGGCAGTAGGAGTGCAATGCAAGTGCATTATTCTTTGACTGCTGTCGTCACATATGGTACAGAAACCCTGTGTTCAAGTCTCAGTGCTGCTTTTGCTTTGTTCACTATTGCCTGGAAATTGGTGCTCCAAACACAGAATCATTACAACATGTGATACCTGTATATTGACAAAGGATGCAGGAATTCTCAAGCAATCACCAAACTTTGAATAGAACATTGTTCACATCTTTTTGTGCCTTAATGTGTGTGTATCTGCTGTAGAGTTTGTATACAGTATATAAGTATTGGCACATTTATCTTAATTTCCCTGAACTTACTGCTTTGTTTATGAGATCTTCCTTCGTTCATCTCAGAGGCCATCAAAGCTGGCTTTACAACTTTAGGGGATGTTACTTGATGCCTCCAGCATTCTTGGGCTGATTCCTAATAAGGAAACTTTCCAAAATAACATTTCAGTCTGCTGGACTAGAGGTTTTTGAACTGGACCACCCTTTTTCTCAGTGCTTGTGGTATTTTTTTAAGCTTTATGGAAATTCAGGAATCTGTCTCCTACCAAGGGCCAGTGCCAGGTACTTTGTGAACCAGTATTAAAAAGTTTGAGGGCAAACAACAAGATGCAACATTTGAGTAAATCAACTCTTGTACTGTAGCTTTTTTGTGGAAATGAGGGTGTTATTGAAGTTCATCTTATCCAGCTAGGTTGTGTGTAAGCAAAATCTATCAATGCTAATAATGAATATAATTAATTATACTAATATATATTGGTTTATTGTTGTGTATGTTTTTGTAGTTTCTTAAAAAACATTAACCATCTTCCACTGATGTCTCAGTATTTTGCATTACATATGATGTATTCACACTTTTAACTGAATATTTTAATCAGTGACTTTAATGCTCAATGTGAGCACTTTTGTGAGTGAAATAAGATAAAACCAAAATATATTTGTTGTGTAAGTATTCACCCTCTTTGTTATGGCAAACCTAAATTACTTCAGGTTAACAAGCCTATTCTGAAAGGTTACATACAGTACATACATGTACAATAATATTGGTGAGCACAATTTCATAACTGCAAAAATGTAGCCCACATAGAAAGGGCCAAATGACCTGTTTTTCTCCTGGTTTACATGTTCCATTTAACGAAAAATTAAAAGGCCTTATCATGGGTCTGTTTCCTGGACGGGGTTCCCTCGAGTTCGGGGCTTATCGTACCCGCCGCCTGCCTTCCGGCCTGCTGGCAGTGGAAGAGGCGGTGTCGGCAGCTCTGGCCTCTCATCCCACCCCTCGCGAAGTACCAGTGGACAGGCGGTTGATCGCTCTCTCTGCCACACCTGACGTACTGTCTTGGTGCCACAGCTCTAGGCTTACGAGTCAGGTGGCCATCCAGTGCTCTCTGGAGTTAATCCTTGGGCCGAACTGTCCCAAAAACAAACAACACCTCCACAAATACGTCCCAATTCCAGTGCCTTTACGGGTACCAGCCTCTGCTCCTCAGGCTTTACCCAGATTCTGCAAATGTAAAGCCTTACGCTTCCACGCCAGCTAGGACAACACATTCTGACAGCTTATTACAAGTCCTGGTGCCAGATTCATCCACACCCTCATCCCCTCATGTTGTGGAATCTGAGGAATCACTCCACATCCACTCCACATCACATCCTGGACTCCCAGTGGTCCGAGGTTTGGGTTCAGATTCCCACAAATGCCCCGTCTGAGGGCCAGGCACCACCCATTAAGCGTGGGTATTGTAATACCTGTGCGAACGCAGGCTCGCACTCCCAGGTTGCTACGGCAACCAGCCATGTTTCCACACAGCCTGAACTATCCACTGGTGCCGATCAAACCAATGATTAGTACCCCCGCCCCCTAATTGTCTGTATGCTGTCTACTCAGACCCTTGCAGGCCTTTCTTGGTCAGTGTGAGTTATTATACAAATTAATTGAAAAATATATTTGAATTCATCCATCCATTTTCTATTCGCTTCATCCAGTTCAGGGTCACGAGGCAACTGAAGCCTAACCCGGCAAACATGGGGCTCAAGGCAGGGTTCTCCCTAGATGTGACTCCCGTACAGTCCAGTCACAGGGCACACACAGACTTACACACACTCACACCAGGGCTAATTTTCTCAGAAACTTCTTACGTAATCTCGCACTGTTAATTGAGAAGTCTTGTCTATTACAGGGTTAAATTTAGTTTGTCGGGTAGCTATGTTTTGAATGCAGATTAAGGTTTAAAACAGGTGGCTTATTCAGAACCAGGGATTTCAAATTCTAACACAGTGAATTGTTGAAAGCCCAGGGATGGATTCTTATTCCTAAGAGATGCATTAAAAAATGCAGAAGTCTGCAATTTATGACCTTTCCAATATGTGGAGCATCCTGGAAGATTCCCAACAGGAAGATTCCTAAATTTCATCTGTGAAAACTGCCATAAAATACAGCTGACAATTCCATATTTATGGAAGAAAAAGCCTATACCATTGCTTCTCTCACGCAACAACTGGATCAGATCCTCGGTTCAGTTGGTTACTATCAAAATGATGGGCTAGATAGTCTGAATGGGCTCGTCTTGTAACTTTTTGTATACTCGTATGCCTGCACCTCACATCGTCAGAGCACCAGCAGAAGGAAACTGACAGAAATGAGCTGGCTCCACGTTTGTAAAAGGAAATAAAATATGAAATCCTATTGTAACAACCACCATGCACATCATATCACCAAATACGTTTTCTCCAAACCAGGATCTGGGAACAGACCATCAAAACCTGAAAGCTCCCGGTAATCACAGACAATGAAATCCAGATACTAATCCCAACAACTGTAACCAGTGACACCACACCTACAAGAAAGGGTGACATACTGTAGTAGCAGTTGGAGTTGGAGTTTGAGACTGTATTCTATGAAACAATTTAAATATGCATCAGGTTCCCTAGGTCAGCAACAGAAAGTCATGTGCCTGGATCTATCACCCTACAGAAAATAAATTGGCTCCAAGCAAAATCCTAGCAAACAGTAGAGTTTGAGTAGAACCACATCAATGGTCTTCTCACGGATCCTGTACATCAAAAACAGCATTCAGGCAGGGTGATTTATTGTACTGTGCATCAAGGGTGTTGTCCCAGACAGATAAAAAAGCATTCAAAAGGCATGCCTTAAGGTGTATGTTACAGAAAAGCAGATTTGAATTTTTCTTACTGTACATAGATTTGGAAAAACATAGGAATGTCAACAGCAGAAGTCTGAAATGGTACACATGGAAAACAATCGCTCTCGGTTAAAAATTCTATGGCTTCAAGGTGAAGCAGTTTCCCTCCTGTCTCATGATCCTCAAGGCGCAGTTTGTGAAGACAGTTCTAAAGCAATGTAATCATTCTCTCACTCTACACTCCAGACCCGGCCTCTAGTGAATAAATCTGAAGACTCACCTGAGTTTACCACTGATGAGAGCCTGAAAATGTCTTAAAGATTTACGGCCTTGAAGGAGAATCAAGCTAAGTGTGTTGTAAATATATCACAAAGCAATAAAGAATTGTTTTAAGTTCCTATAAAAAGATACAGAACACCATAGTGAAGTGTAAATATTGAATGTAACATTTCCAGAAACTGCTTTTAAAACTATTTAATGTTTTTAAAACTATTAAATGTAAGTATATCATTATTGTATTTAAAATCATGTTCATATCTCTCTAAGCTTGCAATGGCAATGTAGTGCATTAGGTAGGCACACTTATATACAATATAGACAATAGAAATGGAAATGTCACTTGAGCTTCTGAGATGAAAATTGACTGTAATAATTCATTATTGCGTTATCAATTTGTTGTTCCTTTGTGGCTCTTCCTGTTGCTATGCGACATGCACACAACCAAGTTTAAATATAGAACTAGCAGTGATGTTTTGTAACTGAAAAATCATCAATAGAACATTTAACCCAGACTGCTTGTACTGTAGATCTGCATTTTCTGACACTGGGCATCATTATGGTTCATGGGAATATAGTTTGTTCTTGAAACATTTCTGTTATTTCTGCTCTATCACATTGTGTGTATATGGTACAGTATTTGCTCTTAATTCTGTAGCAGAAAAAAAAGAAAATTTGGTTGGTTCAGATTTTCCGTTTTGAAATCTGTGATCACTCTTAAGATTATGAAAAAAAGCTCAAGCTTTAAATGTTTTAATAAAATTTGATTATATAAAACAGCAATAATGGTTCCTCTCTTCCAGTGTTTGAATATTACAATTTCACTTATCTGATTACACAGTCAGTTTCCAGTGTTACTAAAAGCACTCCTTAGTGGAATGAAACAATAAGAAAAAAAGTTAGCAATTGTCAAATGTCTAATCATAGTATGAGAGACAAAATCTTTAAAATAATTCAAAGCTGATGTTTTATAAAACATAAATGAAAGACATTTTTCATCAAAATGGATACTTCTGGAGACAAAGTGTTCGCTCAAAATAAACTCAAATTTAAGGCATCAAAGGTTTGATCCAAATATGTAGAAATGATTCTGAATTTATCTTTTTTTTCATAACGCAACACCTCAGAAGGTTCTTTGGAAACTAAAACACAAAGAAGCAGGTGGATAAAGCTTCTTAATGTAGCTGTTTTGCTCTTTCATCACAGGGTGACTTCACCTGGAACAGCATGTCTGGACGAAGCGTGAGACTAAAGCCAGTGCCCATTCAGAGTCTCTCCGAGCTCGAGAGAGTGCGACTGCAGGAGGTGGCCTTTAATCGACTGCTGCAGGACTATGATCTGGGCTGCCAGATAACTATCCCCAAAGGTACCTTGCCTTGTACTTTCTCAAAACAATCAAACAATCATTAGAATGCAAGGAAGAGACAAGAAACAAGTAGAAAAAACAGATATTAGGAAGCATGGTAAAATTGAGCAAAGCTTTGCTCACTATACAAAGATGTACACTCCAAGAAGTTTGAGGGATATTTACAGTACACCATACTGTATGTTTCTCCTGCATGTCTTTAGCAGTGTTTCTGTGGGTAATAGCTGCATAGCTTTTTTTTCTGGAATGTTCTTTGGAGTTCCGTGATCTTTCAACTGATTAATTCTTTTGTCCTGTTGTGTGTTGTTTGTTTGGAAATGAAAAGGCTTTTATTTAGTGTTGGTTTGAGGTAAATGAGCTGCCTTTTTTATTTCAGAAAGCTATTACACCAGGGAACTATATTAGTGCTGGTGAAATGAGTTTGTCTTGAATTTAGGGGAATTGATCTAGCAAATCCAGATAGAATTTTAAACCTTCATCTAAGGTATTCACAGAAATTCATGAAATGTACAGTACATTTTCCAACTTTCAAAGCTTGGTGTGAGTACTCCACAGGACATTTATTAGTATTGGTTAGTTATATTCAGAAGTAGAAGAATTTTATTTTTGATCTTTACACCAAAGAAGAAACCTTTCACTGAGAAACTGAGAACACTTGCAAACTTTCAGAAACATAAGCTTTCTAAGATGCATACAAGACTTGGCTAATGGTCTGTTAGCGTGCTTTTTCTCCTGGGAAAAGCTTACAAGTTTATGCAACTTTGTCGGTAGTTTAAAATTTCAAAAGGGCTTTTCTTCCTTCCTCCCATAGAGTTACTTTCATCTCCTCTCCTGTAAGAGACAATGTATGAAACATTTGCACTGTTAATGTTAAATTTAGTGGTTGTGATTCAGTTTTGCAAAGGCATTAACTACTGTTTATCCATTTTTTTCCTTATTTTAAAGATGGGAACATGTATGTTTCATCTTTTCTCTTTCAGTGTTTCTGATACTCTTAATGCAAAACAGCACATATGTTGTATTGATAAAATGAGCCATATAAAATCATTCACTGCCATGTACTGGTTTCCCATTCAGATTGTACCCCACCTTGCGTGAGACCCCCTGTGACCCTCAATTGGATTAAGCGGTTAGAAAATGGATGGATAACTGGAAACCATTCAATACATTTTTAGATTTAAAAAGTAGTTCAACATCTATTCTCTGTATTTTACCTGAAGATTTTTCTCAAAAGTTTCCCCTGTAGAAGAATTCTTCAGGGACAAAGACATAATTTTCTCACCCAAATTCAATTTCATGAGGTAATACCAAGGTGAGGGAATAACAAGTAATGTTCTTTACATCTGTTTTGGGTTAGTCAGCTCCCATGTGATTTCCAGATGAATTTGGTCAACTCTGAAATGGGGATTTCAGCTTGGCACCATGCTATGAGCACATGCCTTAGGGAGGGCTCTGGGGCAGAAAGGTGTTTTTCGTTGGCTCAAAGGCCATTCCCAGTTATGCCTTATTTGAAATTGCACTTTGTTCTTTTTGTGTTTCTGTATTAGCTGAGGATTGAAGTCAGGAAAGTGAAGCTCTCCTAGGCACATCTTTGTGATGGATGCCGAGGCGCTGTCCAGTCTTTCGGTTAATAATTTTTTCCTATTAATAATTTTTATAGTCTTTCATTAAAACAAAGACAGTGCACACTAAGAGAACTATGTTAAGCACTGAGCTTGTGGTGATACTGTATATACAGTAGCATACATATTTACAGAGGTAAAAGTGACGAAGGAGCTTGAAAAAGTGCATTGTATGCATATAAATCTTTATACCATACATACTAAAGTAGAATAAACAACAATTAAAATGAACAGATTTATTAGTAGTTACAAGAGCTCTAATAACTTGTCCGTCCTTGTTGTTGACCTCTCTACAACTATAGTTTCTATGTAGCTAATCAGCTAGATCTACGTTCTAACCAGCTTTCATTTCAGTCTTAGCATAAAACCAAGTGGAAGTCAAAATCAACTTTAAGAGATAATGAAATAAAAACCTGTTTTTAGGTTTTGCATCACTCTACCACTGCAAACAGTGATGCCCAGCTTTTCCATATAGCTCTGTATGAAAAGTAAACAGTCCCATTTTGATGTTTGCTTTTTCAAACACAGTAAGCTTTCAGTTGTCTATACCACATTGCACCATGTGGATCTGTTTAATCTCAAGCCTGAAATGCCATGTTGAGCAAAAGGGGCTCAAACAAAACCCATCACAGGATCAGATTTCAACATGTGCTGCTCATTAATTTCAACTGTGGTGGTTCAGAACCATGCTGTGGGGTTGTGTCTTTAGCAGTGAGTTGCACTTGAAGCAGATATACACATGCTCACATACTTTTAGAACATTTCTTAAAATTTAATAATACCATATTTATCCCCATGCAGCCCATTAGAGGTTTTGGTCGACATCCCAGGGTGATGTTCAGGCCTCCAGCATCTGCTTCCTTGGATATTTGCTGATTCAAGAGAAAATCATATATAGCGTCTTTCTCTGTATTGCTTTCAAGCAGCTGTAGCTTTTTAGAAATAGATCTTTTGTGCTCAGCACAATTGAGGGCAGTTATCCCTGAGATAATACATAGGACTCCACTTACTTAGTAACATCCTAACAACTGTTAAACATATTCTTTAATTTTTTGTGTTGAATTATTACCAGTTGCATGTAATTAGCCCATCACATCTCCTGTACCTGTATATTACCTAGCACACAGTTAATTAACTTTATATACAGTATGGCCACTACTTTCCGATGCTCAGAGTGCGTAATTGAAATATCTGATTAATCGTAACTCAGGAATGGAAATCTGATGGGGAACCCATTCCATTCTCTCGATATTTTTCACAGATGCTGATTTGCCACAAGAAGCCTTTTTATCAAATTCCAGTTTTAAATGTGTGTGTGGAAAAACATGCTGTGCCACGATCACAACATTCCTTTAGTTATTTTATCAGTGTATAGAGTCATTTATGTGTCTTTTTTATAACTGTTGTGCAAAAATTCTGCATAAAAAGGAAAAGAATGGACCCAGGCTATTTTCAAAAGACATCCTTTGAAAGTTGTCCAGAACTCCTCTCTTTAGAAACTACAATTAGCAAAATTATTCTAAAAGAATATTGTTTTCATCCATATATTGGTGTCCAAAAGAAATCTGCATTTTAAAAACTACTTTGTTTTTCAGTAGATCTCAAGAGAGGATAATTTAATGTATAAACTCTTTTTTTCAGTTTCCATAGAATCTAGGATTACTACAGTACATGTACATTGTAAAATACAGTATTTGAAACAAAATATTTTTTTTTCTTGAGAGACTGCAAAATTGAAATTTGAAAGTGAATCCTTACTTGTCGTACTGTGACATTGTGTTGTACTGTATAATGCGCAATGCGTGTTGCGGGAGAATCATGGTGTACACAATTGACTCGGTAAATGAAAAACTATTGACTTGGAAGATCTACCCGAGAAAGAATGCTTTCATTCTTTGTACATTACTCAATTTGACACACCAAAACACCACATCCATGGGGCTTTCAATGGAAAGCTGTGCTTTGAGAATCCAAGTGTTAACCCTTGAGTTGAGTTTTATTATTTATTTTTGTATGCAAAGCAACTCGTAATATTTACCTATTTATACAATATATAACTGAAGCAATGTAAGAGTTTTCTTGCTCAAGGGTAAAATGGTGTTTACTTATACTGTATAAGTGTGGTTCTTAGTTTTAAAGCTTGACTTCTAGTAGATCATTAAGATTTATCCTATTAGTGCTGAATCTTTTTTTGTAACCAATCATTTTTCCAAACTATGCACTTTACAATAACCATCTGCCACTAAAGACGAAACAGTTGTTTTAGCTGTGACTCCAACGTGGGTTAATAGAGGAAGAAAAGCCTGTAGGATCAAGGACATATGACCCTCTTGCAACATCAGAAATTCAAGACATGTGTCTGGTATTCTACAAATAGTATATTGTTTTTTAAGTGAGAAGGTTCATTAACGCAAATTCCAGAACTCTCCTGGGCACTCCTTCATTCATAAAAGTTCTAGTTCTTAGGAAATTAAAAAGAGAAACCTTTTAAGTGGAAATTGTGGAATAAAAGATAGATGTGTTCTCTTCCGTCCCTGGAAAACATATTTTTGTGGTTAAGAGATTCAGTTTCTTCAAAAGTGTTTACAGACAAAGCCATTGTTTTGAATAATCAGCAGTGGAGGTGCAGCACCTTCTTAAGAAGAGGGCAATTTCAGTCAGTGTGTACGACTGTCAGTATACTCAAAATGTACTGTATAAATGTGTGTACTGTATATGTACAAAATATACTAAAGAACAATAATAATAAAAAAGGACTTGGAGTTTAGAAAATATCAGTTTCTTGAACATCACAATTTTATAGAAGAAACATCTTTCAAAATAGTTACAACCACTTCCTTAAAATATTTTAAACCAATTACAGTATATTCAAATGTAGATGGTACATCTATTTGTAAAAAATGTAAAAAAGTAATTCCTTAAATGACTTTTGGTAATGGTTTTTTTTTGCTCTGTGACTCACAATCCAGAGACTAGAGGATTTCATCATCTCAAGTCAGTATCAAAAACAGCTCAGCTGATTTACGTCCCTTTTGTTGTTATGGGAACAAAAAAAATATAAGAAATATGGGTGGATCCTGAACTCTTAAGGATAAATCTCAGATCTCATAAATTGGTAATTGTGTGGCCTTCAGTATAACTGTATTGACTGTAGCAAAAAAAACCTTGACTTTGACAAGTGTGTCTCTTGTGCATGAGGACTGTGAAATGAAGCTGACAAATGAAAGTATCTTAAGTATGTAGTAGAGCACTCCAAGCACAAAGTATTAATGTACTGTATATAGTGCAGTACTGTATATAATGCTATAGTGTATAATGCATGGTATTTGCATAGTATGTAACATATAAAGACATTATAAATCCTATAGTACATGATTACAAATGCAAATAGCTGTAAAGGAAATGTTTGTTTTTCAGAAATATGGATACTCAATATTGCCTTCACAGGAAACAGGAAATATTTGAACCAGATATTGTGGTGCTGTGCTTGTTTTCTAACATATATACTGTAGGTAGATAAGACTTTATTGATCCCAAAGGGAAATTGAGGAACTGTTACGACTATTTAAAAAAATTAAAAAGAAGCTATGTAAGCAAAACGTTTCTCATTAGCAAATAGCAAAAATCTAAAGTCAATAATATGATTACTAGTTCCACTCACAAATTTGACATTTCTAGATAATACGTATATAGTTTTTTAAATGATGATGATTTTCAATTTGTTTTCTGGCATTTTATTCATGCAAATTTTATTCAGGTACATTAACAGAAATATAGTATCTTGAAGATGGTTATTAGCACATAAATTACAGAACCTCCAGGAAAATGTCCTTTAATCTAAAAACCTTCATCTTTCGAGTAGCATATTGTTTTCACTGAAAAGAAACATCAATGATGAATATTGTTTCAGACGCAATCCAATTTTTAATGCTACATTTTGCCACATAAATTCTCAATTACCCGTATTTATTTCGGATGTTTTCAGATGGACAAAAGCGTAAGAAATCCTTGAGGAGAAAGCTGGATTCATTGGCCAAAGAGAAGAACAAAGATAAAGGTAAAAAAAATCCTTGATTGCTGGTAAATGGTGTTTTGTTACGATTTATTTGCGTCTACGCTTTTAAAAATCCCACAGGACATTAGAGCCAGGAAGTGACCCACATGCTGTAGGGAAATCTAGGCTGGCCACACTGTGGAATTCTGACACAGAATCTAAAAAGGACACCTCAGTTTCACAACAACTACTATGGCATCTGCAAACAGTTAAATTTTGTTTCCCGTTTCCCTAATTGGGAATTCATTTGGGAGTTTTTCTGTCCAGGAGGAAGGGTGCTACCTAGTGATTCACCAGCACCACTCCTAGTTCAATCTGGTTTTCCTTTGATGTGTCTCATCCAAGCGATGGTCAGGCCCAGCCTTGCTACTGCGATTACATCAAGATTTGTGGTGGTATTGCTGCCGGCTACATTTTAGGGAACCTGAGATTCATTTGATCCATTTTTGGAGAAAACTGTAATGTCAATGTTTTTTGTTCCCTAATTATTTTAGGGAAATTATCCTGAAAAATTACATTCTTATACGGTAACGGAATATACATTCTAACATTGTTATGTGGTGTCTCTTGTATTTGCTCTTCTTGTTTCCTCTTTCCTCGAAAAAATGGAAAAATCTTACACTATCCCAGTCAGTCTCCAGATGTTAATCCAATTGAACATGCATTTTACACGTTGAAAACAAAGAATAGATGGAACACCCTAACAACAGACACCACCTTCAAGTGGCTGCAGCAAAGAATGTCAGATAATTAGAAAGAGTTCTGAAAGAGCCGAAATGGTCATCGGCTTCATGCATTTACTGCCTCACAGGGAATTGCAACCAAATACCAACTTCTACGTTACGCTGAAATTGACTGAAAGTGAACGCTTCCAAGTGGAAAGTTTGTTTTTGTTCTAATCATAAATAAATACTCGTAGAACTTAATTTACATTGTACTGTGCATCCATATTAATTTCATGAGCACAAATGTGTATTGCTTGAATGTAAAGCGAAAATAACCTTTTTAGCTTTGCTGTCCTAATATACTTGAAGGGCACTGCAAATAATAGGTGATCATTTTCACATGTTTGTATCTTCTTTCAAACCATACACGTGTCCCTCCTGTCCATGAAAAGGCAGAGGTTTCTTCATAGCTGTAGGACAATGCTTTTTGGTGGGTTTTAAAGTGGATTTTTCCTCCTCTTAGTGTTTTGTCCCCTGACAGCTGGGATCTGTTTTCTCACACATTCACTTGCCACTCCGTTGACAGTGGAAAATGGAGTCTTTCATCCATTTCAGAGAAGCTATGCGGGTGTTGCTCCAGTCAAGCATTCTCAGCTGTTTACACTGACATACCAGAGAGCAAAAATATACAGTATACCCTTCTAAAAAGCCTGCTTCAGCAACTGTGCTGCCCCAGCCCCTTAGAAAAATGTCTGCTGGAATGCAAGAATTCACAGTAGGCCAATCAGTCGTAACTAAAATAAAAACAACAAGGAAAAGGAGTTTAATCATGCAGGGCAGTAGTTTTCCATGGTGCAGATCGGCTGTTAAATTTATTCTTTAATGACACATCATTGACTGAGCTAACTGAATATATCATTCACTGTGCAGAAGTCATGGAAAAGCTCCAGCCCACCTCAGCCTTTCCTGTGAGGAAACTATAACAGCCAGTTAACACAGTCAATGTAACATGCACAGAAATGTATGTGTTCATATTGATTCAGTTAATGATAGAAATTCAATAGAACTGATTTTGTATCCAAAATGCATTTCCCAAAATTTAAAAACCATTAAAATGCATTATTTTTCTCACAAAAGTGCCAAACACTTTGAAATGTGTTACTGTGTTTTATTTTAGTATTGCATGTTTGTGTGGTGTGAGTAAACTATATTCATTTTTGTCTCATTCTAGAGGTCATTTTGATTGTTTTCACTTTAGTGCAGTTGTATTTATAGGAGTCAGATATTTACAGTACAGAATTAATTCTAAAGAAACAACATTTTACACTAAGCACAAATAAAATAAACAGCCACCTGATTAAAACAAGCACTACTCTTCACATACAGTATCATTCAAACACATGGTGGTGTGGTCTGTCCAGTTTTAAAGCTTTCGTTTCTTCACTGTTGCATTGTTGCAGTGTTTTTAATTTCACACCACTATACAGATCTCTCTTCACCTTGCTCAACTTTACTTTATAAGATTTCTTTGATAGACTCATGTATGTTAAAACATTTCATGTCTGGTATTGTTTAAAAGATTACTTCATATTTGACACAAAGCTGGCCTGGTCAAGAAGTTATTTTTTCCAGCATTTTCTTAAATGAGAATGTTTGGCTGTAGTCACAGAGAGAAAATAATCTTTCAACTAATCATAATCTGCCGTCTCTACTTACTGTATTTGATACAGCGTATTAATACTTTAATTTCTTTAATATGCTATGACATGGCATCTACTTTCAGCTATGGGTTGCACAATTATAGGTAAAACTATGAGCTGTACAGTATGTGAAATACATGTGTACTACTGTATATGTATATTACCTTGTATTTAGTCATGACCAAATGAGAGACTGTTCTGGGGTTTGTAGGAAAAAAACCCTCCTTTTTTCAATGGGTTGTCTTCCTTGTTGGAGCGGAAACTGTACCCATACTTTTGGGTCATGCAATTGCCACTGTAATGCCACCTGAATGCATCAGCTTTGTCAGGCAACTGTAATCACTGCTCATCAGTTTCATCTGATGACTGAAATCAAGCTTAAGAGTCATGATACCAGGCTACAAGAGAGTGTTAGTAGTTATCATTCTGGCTGGGTAGCTCCATTCAGTTCATTACCTTTCATTTCCTCAAGGTCTGGGATGGTCACAGCTGTTTGCTGTTAGGTGGTAGCTTTCCGGGAGATTAGTGAGGATGCATGGCCCCTGAGAGCCCAGTAGCCTCATTTTGTGATGTTCCCTCCAGCAGCATTCCTAGATCAGTTCATTCAATCTTTCACTGAGCAGTGGCATCACTGCATTGTGATTTATGAAGGGCAATTTGTGCGTCTTTTATACATCACATTAATACGTGAATGCATATATTCATATTTACTTAGTAAGAACATGTATACTTATGCATACTGTATTTTTAAATGTATTGTTATTTTGCACTCTGGATGTACTATAGCAGAGTGCAGAAACCAAAAGTGAACTGTTTTCTACAGGCATATCCACAAACGTTCCAGATATTTAATAATTTATTCGTATTGCTATGTGTAACTCAGAAAGACTAATAAGTTATCATTCCGTGATTGAGGATAAATGCAGATGAAAAAACATGTCATAACAGCCATCAAGGTTTTGCCATTTTTCTCAGGTTTTTCAGTCTAAATGATGTTTACAGTATAGCTTACAGTATACCATATGCCAGGGATATTCACATACCAGCCTTTTCACAATATTGCAATGCATGTCTTTGGCATAGCCATCAACATTGTTTTAAAATGAAATACATACTTAAACAAATATTTACCTCACTGTGCAAAACATCTGCAGAGGATACGTTATAAAGATCTAGTATTTGAATGTCATACAATTTTATTAAACATATGGATATTTAAGATATATAAAATTAAGAATGATGCACAGAGTCATTAGGAAACACTGCTTTGCTTTTGTTTTCACAGACTATTTTCTGCCCAGGCCCCTACACTACAGTTTAAAGCCTACTCTTTTTTAACAGGGTAGCACTAAGTGCTTGTAAATTCAGAGGTTTCTATTTCCTGCCTCAGAAATCAATACTCACTACTGATGGAGAGTGCAAATTCACACTGTTTGAGGTAAAATGCCTGAATATGGAAGCAAAGTGGTTTAAAACATCTGGCGTGGGCATGTTACAAAACTAAAACAGTCTATACATGGCACAACCATTTCATGCTTTTTGCCGCCGTTAAGAAATTGCTATAAAAATAACTTGGATATTTGGCAGTTATTTTTAGAACATTGTTCGTGAACAATCAGCCATACTGTGAACATGCCTGGCACCGTGGGAAGACGGAATCGGCGTGGAAACAGTACATTGTGTTCAGATTTGATATTAAAAGTGGTTTATAGATGTCTCTTGTAGGGTACAAGAGTCTGTGGTTTTAACACAATTAACAGTAAGCCACATAAATTGTTTCACAGTTGTGCATTTTACTATATGTGGTACAAACACAAAATAAAAGAAACTAGCAGCAGTAGACTGTACTGTAAATGGGAGATTGCAGATTAATGAAGATACTGTATCTGTTAGTCATGTTGATGTGCTCAGCACATCGTGTTTTCATTTGATTCGCATTCAGGCTTTGTCTTTTGGAATAGTGAAAAAATACGGCCTTCATTTATGACCTGTATGGAAAGGTCAATTGAGAACTCAGTTCCTGTAATTGTATTTTGATGTTAATGAACTGTTAGCAGGGGGAAATAAACTCAGGATGTCTTAGGGGACCCGACAATGAGTTTTTTTTTTCTCGTTTTTGTTGGTTTTCTTTAGGTATTTGTAAAAGAAATGCCGCTTACCCATTCCCACTCATTCTTGTTTTTATAGAATTTGTGCCTCAGGCCTTCGGCATGCCGCTCTCCCAGGTCATAGCAAACGACAGGACCCATAAACAGAGGCAGGATTCCCAGAGAGAGGAGCACAGAGACTCCCCTGACCTCGTCTCCTCCATCCTCCAGTTTGGAGCCAAACGAGCAAACAAAGAACTCTCCAGCAGTAACTCATCTCTAAGCTCAACGTCAGAAACTCCCAATGAGTCCACATCACCCAACACACCTGAGGCAGCTCCTAGGGCACGCAGACGGGTAGGAATTGGCTTGTAGTTACTGTCTAATGTTATCTAGCAGCTCTGAAACCATTGTCTCTGTTGCAACACGATGGTTACCAAACAATGTGAAACAAAAACGCTTGCCATGATAAGCATAAAAGAAGGAGAATACTGTGATTCAGTAAGCAACAGTCTTGTTGGCCAGCATTGTGCATCACCTTGTGTTGAAAGAGTAGCATTCACAAATACAATAATGCCCAGGAGCATTTAGGAATCAAGCACAAGAGGTTTATATTGTTTGAAGAATGTTGAAACCAGCGCTTACAAAATGAACAATAAGGACCCTTTCTCTCTTTTTCTGAACAGCCTGCAAACCTGGAACTGGTAAAATAAAATTATATCTTCCCATGTAAACTCTATGTTTATAAAAATAAATTAAAAAGTACAATATAATGTAAAGTGCTATGTGCCTGGAAGGTTGTTTTACAATACCTAAAGCTTTAGTTCTCTCTTTGATGTATGCTTTTAGTTTTTATAAGTAAGCCACTGACTTACAGTAAGTCCTTGCAGCTACTTTACTCACAAAGAGGACAGTCTAAGGATGTGTCTGGCAAGTGACCAAACCTCAGTAGGCCTAAAGAAAAAACTTTAAATCACCAAGGATCATTTCTACTCTCCGGCACATTCCACATGCACTTTGGTTAAAGTTGTGATTCAACTAAAAGGCAAAATTGATTCCTAAACATTTAATACAAATTCTTTGTAGAAAGTTTAATTCTACATGACAGCCCACGCAGCAGATAGCTAATCCTGGCACACTGATTGAGCCCTTTGCTTGACTGGTAGGTTGGCTTCTGTTCAAATGTTCCCAGTGCTCCTTTCCAACAGAGTGTTTGATTTAAGCAGCAGGTTTTGGTGTTTCCATACTGGATTAGAACTATAAGGAATTCAAGCACCACAAAGGCAGACATTTGTATTGGCATGTTATGTAACTTCCCATCTCAGTGTCTTAAATTGCCTCTCCAGAACATCCAAAATCCTAGATGCTAGACTGCTAGACATCTTTTTTTCATGGGGTGCCAATACATCCAGCTAACGACCTGTACATGTACTATATGTGAGTCTGTAGGCTAAAATGTCTTCTCAAGACATAATCATATGCTCAACATACATAACTCCTCATTATCCTTACCTTATTATCCTTATTAGACAGTATAAATGACTTAAATTCTAACCCTATTTTATTTGTAGTGAGTATGTGCAATAACACAAGAGGAAACAGACTGAAAACAGTAACTCTGGTTTTGCTATTCTTCTGTACCAAAATGTTTGTTTTCGGTTTCTCATTTTTTTATGAGTCATCGGTTTCTGGATTTCTTACTATGAGTGAATTGACCTGCGTTGTCAATGGATGTACTGTAAACTAAAACATTTTTTAGGAATGTATGAATATCAGCTCAATGTGTTATGAAAATGTATTTATTTATGTGAAGGATGAATACTGACTTCAGTCCCTATAGAGCCTTAGTATTTGGCACAAACTGCCCCTGTGGCTACTGTTTGTTTTAATTTGGGTTAAATCCTTAGTCATTAAAACCACAACTTTTGTTGAAAGGAATTAAAATACAATCACGGTCAAGGCATTTTACTCATTTTGCAAATAATGAAAAAAGTAATACTTTCAGTCATACAGTATAATGTTAATGGCTGTAAGAAGAATATTAAACCACAGAACTCATTACATTTAGGCTGTGCATACAGCATGTCCTTTTTTGGCTTTGACTATTTATTAACTGTGCAGGCAAGACATGGGAAGGATTTACTCTATATTGATTTTAGAATCATTTCATGTACAGAGGCTGACAGGGCACAAACTGTATAGGTGCATTCCTGAAAAAGAACTTCATGGTTTCTTGTCTTTAACTCTAAAAAAATGAATTAAAAGATAAAGTCAAAGCAATTTGGTTTTTGTTTTTTAATTAATTATATTTGAAGTTGTGTATGTTTTCCAGGTGAATAAATGAAAGGGGATGTGTGGGCTTTTCACATGCATGAAGGAGAGAAGAATAATGTGTCTTTTGGAGTTTTTCAGCATGTGCAGAGGCCAGGGAATGAGAAGATATGATAATGGGGAGGATGGGAAGATGAGGTCACGCGCTCACATTCCTTGGTGTTCTGCAGGGAGGAATGTCTGTGGATTCCATCACCGACCTGGATGACAATCAGTCTCGACTCTTGGAGGCCCTGCAGCTCTCTCTGCCGGCAGAGACACCGAGCAAAAAAGAGAAGCAGCGAGACAAAAAGCTGAGCTTGAACCCCATTTACAGACAGGTTCCCCGACTGGTGGACAGCTGCTGTCAACATCTGGAGAAATACGGTCCGTACTGATGAATTAAAGCTTCACGTGTCCTGTCTTGCAGCCCAGAGTAATCTATATTTTATCAGGCGTTGGCAGAACGCCAGATGTACAGTACCTGCCAGTACAGGACAGTTAGCTGTGTACCATTCTGTCTGGGGTACTGCTGGAAAGAGATTAATAAACTGTTTCATCACAGATGAACTTACAGTATACCATAATCATCACCTAAATGCTCGGTTCAGTTCACCCTGTGACACTTATTAACCAAAGTGGTATATCAGGTTACAGTGTGTGTCAATGTCAAAAAATACTAAAGAGCTACAGTATGCTGCCTTTGGAAGGCCTATTGGTGTAATTGTGTTGCATTTTGCAAAAGAAAAACTTGAGACATTTTTAGTCATTTATGTTTGTTATTCTGCAGAACTGCTGGGAAATCAGCCTAAATTAAAGCCATTTTTATATATTACAGTACTGTACTTGTAAAACCTACAGTTACAAGATACGTAAACTGTTAAAAGTTCAAATGTCATGTTTCAGTTCCAGGCTACCTGTGCAAGGGATTGTATTACCGAGTGATATTGTAATGTTTGTTTTAATTGTGAAAAATCTTTTTGCTAAAGATAAGTTTTGTCAAAACAAAAATAACATTCTTCATAATGCCTGGCTACTGAACCACAGAATTTAAACTAATTTAAAAACAAAAGTAATAACTTTTCTTGTTTTTTGCCCAGGTCTTCAGACAGTTGGAATTTTCCGTGTAGGAAGTTCAAAGAAAAGAGTGAGGCAGGTAAGAATTGTTTTAGACGGGTGCTGATTCATCCACAGTTAGCTGTAGTGATTTACATTACCTGGAACATACCTACTCTGCACTTGAAGGTGTGAGCATTGCATTGCACTACAGCTTTGCTGTGTGTCCCAGTCTAAGTCTTCTTGCAATGTTTGAACACTTTTTGGGTTTTTCACTTCTTGTAACTTTCTGAATAGAAATGTAGTGTTGACGTTTTGCCAGCAACTAGTAGTGTGCCACCAGAAATCATGAATAAGTAGACTGCTGTTTTTGACAAAAGCAGAACTTCTTTTTTGCAAACCTATTACAAATATACAGTATAACACTCTAACTCTCATGAGATATGTGAATGTTAATTAACAAGTTAAGTTCTGACTGTTTCAAAGTGAAAAGCAAAAACCTTCAGAGAATTCTAATTCTGCTTCTCAAAGCTCATTTTGCCCTTTTTTTAGTTCATCATATCATAGTTAAACTTAGGTCAGTGAAATGGGCTTACAGTATATACTGTATGTATCTTACAAGGAGCACTTTTTCTGGATTTTTTATTAAATGCAAGACATACAGTAATTGAAATGCATTTAATTGAAATGCTTTGAAATGATTTGTAGAAATAATAACCATGAAATCATGAAGTAGAGAAGACATCCTAAATGTGGGCCGAAATATTCATCCGTTGTTATGAGAACAGACAGAAAAGAACTAAACAATATGAAAATTAATCTTCTTCAAACAACACTTATTTGTGGATTGGAGCACTGAAAATAGAAAGGCCTAAAAGATTTTCCGTAAACATGTAAATAAGGATAGAAGTTGATCTCTTTATTTGCTTAGTTACAGTACCAAGCACTCATCGTCCAGTTTTTTAATGTTGTGAATGTTTTTGAGTGGATTAAAATAACTACAGTATACGTCTAATAAGCAAAATATTCCACACATTTATAACATTTTGTATGTTCCTGGAAAAACATCATACTTTTAAACAAGTGTTGTCTCCTGCAGAAACCTTTATAAGTATGATGTATCCTCAGGAATAGACAGAAGAAGGCTAACAGTTTATGTTCTAGCCACTAAACACTCTTTTCCCTGACACACACCAGTATTTTTGAACTTTTTGTTCCTCATATGTTTGTGGACTGGGTAGAAACAGGGAACATTCTCAGGTAACGTTAGATAACTCTTACTAAGACATCTTTATCTTTATCTAGAGCATTTCCAGTTTAGATGGATGTGATTTTCTTTTTACTTTTACTTATCTTATGCTAGGAGGGACTGGCTCCTGTTTCAGTGGGCATAAAATGGCAGCATAAATTATATGAAATGTTATGAATTTCTCTAGAGCCCCTTACCCAAATGGAAACCATCTGTGTTCAAATTTTGTTTTAAACGGTGTGTTGTTTCTTTAATTTATTTAGTTCTATATATATATCACATTCTCACTGCTGTTTTATTTGAGTATCATTTTTCATGCTGCAGCCAGATGCAGTTTGTCAGAATACTTTGCAAGGACGACAACTACAATATCCATGAGATCCTAGGTAATAAAACAGGCAAATGTATAAAACCTGTTTGACTATTTATTTTAATAGTGACCCACTCTTCTGGTATTACATGAAGTCAAGACATTTTAATAGTCTTGTAATTCATAGATTTTCTTTCCAAAAGAACCTGATTTTATTTCTCAGATTATAGAGTAGTGCAGTGAGATAGTACAATGTAGAATCAGCACAGTCATAACACACTAAGAAACTAACACAGAAAAGGTGCCCCTTCTGTTTTCAGATATTTTGATAGTATGCATAAATGCTTTATGTCTGAATGGTAGCAGTACTAAAGCGCTTACCTTTTTGCACAGTTAGCTAAATAGTCTTCTGTGATATCTATGGGTAAGCCAGTGGAATTGATCAGAGTATACTTGGCAGGATATTGATTAGAAGTACAAAACTACATTGAATTTAATAATGCAACAATACCATGAATTCAACACTAAATTGAAGTTTAGTGCCTTCTTTATGTTTCAGTTATTCTTGTAGTTACAGACGTCCTTGTAGAATTCTGTAATTCATCCTTGAAGATTGTAGTCTGAACCAATAGCTACTAGTAATAGTAAATTTGACTTTAATCCTAAGAGAAGCTTAATATTGTCTAATATCAGTACAGTATTTTTTCTTCTAGTAATATGCAGATGTGAACCAGTCCGGGTGCCCCATTCAAATCATATATCCCATAACTGCCCAATGTAAAACGTTGTCAGGGACGAATTAAACATCCTGGTAGGCTCATGGTCTTTCTCCATTTTCCTAGCTAAGAGATGAGTTTGATCGTGGTGTGGATGTCCAGTTGGATGAGGAGCACAGTGTTCACGACATTGCAGCCTTGCTGAAAGAATTCCTTCGAGACATTCCTGATCCTCTGCTTACTAAAGAGCTGTACACTGCTTTCATCAACACAATGTGTAAGCAACTTCATCTCCTCTGCTTCTTTTAGAAATGAAAAGCAAAGCTGTGCAATTTTTTCGGATTTAATTCATTATGAATTATTGTTGAATGTTTATTCTGTGGCTATTGGTAGAATGTTTATTTGTAAAATTGGGTGGGCTGCTATTCTTGTCTAGGGTCTTTACCTAAATGACAGCATCACCACATTGTAGCCTGTTTTTGAACAGTTCTGTTCTCAGAAGGTAAGCAGGGCTGGGCCTGGTCATTACTGGGACAGGAGACCACTAAGGAAAATCAGGTTGTTGGTGGTTAAGCAAGTGGTACTCTTCCCTTTGGGACAGAATTTCCAAACCAATTCCCTGGTATGGTAACAGTGGATGCTGTTGAACCAAGTTGAACCAAGGTGCTGGCTACTTGGTTACTGTAGATTCCATGGCACAGTTTGCAAGAGAAAGGGCATTAACCTTGATGTCATGGCTAAATCTTATCTGGGCTTGTGCAGTACAGTCTGGCCTCCCTAAAGTTCCTCCTTACTTCAGCTGGTGATGGAACTTTCTGGTGCTGCACTTCGGGGATGGGTGAAGTGGGACCCTCTTGAAGTGCTTTGGGAACCTATGGGATGAACGCACTGAATAAAAGCAATTGCTGTAGCAGTCCAATACACTTCAGCAAAGTGTGACTTAATTTTGTTGTTGCTTTTGTCCACAGTGATGGAATCCAATGAGCAGCAAAGCGCACTACAGCTTCTCGTTTACCTTCTACCTCCCTGTAACTGTGACACTCTTCACAGACTCCTGGAGTTCCTGTCCACAGTTGCTGCCCACGCTGAGGACATGTTTGATAAGAACGGCCAAGAGGTAGCATCACCTCTCACTTTCACTTTGCTCACCTCTACTTTCTTCGTGCTCTGACTAATAGATCCAGATGAATGAAATGATGTACAATCAGAGTGAATTACTTTTGCTAAGACCTTAAAAGCAATTTACCAAAGTATTTTAAATATTTCCCATACCCAATAGGCACAATATCTTCCTTTCAACAAACAAAATCTTCATTTTGTGTTGTAAAAAAGGCAAATTAGATTGTGGTTTTCATTGTAAAAAAGTCATGGTTTATCTCCTGTTCCGTGGTTCTTAAACTGGATCATACACTGCTTATAAACAATGAGACATTAAGAATTTAAGCTCCATTTATTCGTTGATAAAGATTGCACTTTGTGGAGCGGTGCTGTGTGAAAGAGACATCAGAATTACACTGCGGCAAGTGAAGGTGACAAGGTGACAGACATAGTTGAGTTCACAAGGGAGTTCATACCAAGGGAGAACAGAACATTAAATTCTGTTGAACTTTCCCACACAGTGTTCTATCTATAATCATATTCCAGAAACTAAATTGCAGAGCTTGACACTGTTAAGCCAAAAATTGACCAATTTCATGGTTGGGAAAAAGATCAGCAAATTCACCATGCCTTTTTAATTCCATGTCTTCAATGTCTCATTTATTGCCTAAACACATCACAACAAGTGGTTTCCTTTAATACAAGCTTTGGTAAATGGAGGTAATTTATGATGAAAACATATACCTGCACAGTACATCTATAAGTTACAACTTAATATACTTAAACCCAGTGTTCTTCTTGGTATTGTGATAGTGCCTTCTCTCTTCCAAACTTTATGGACTGGACCTACTAAGCCATTCTCTGTGAAATAAAATCTGTGTACGCTTGATGTATTAAAATTAAATAAATAACTTAATTTGGGGTCTGCACAGGTGTGCAGTGATTAGCATTGCTGCCTCATAGTGTGGGGAGTGTGGAGTATGTATCTTCTTCCTGTGCTCTCATGGGTTTCCTCCCACAGTCCAAAGACATACTGGGAGGTTAATTCGCTTCTGGAAAATTGGCCATGGTGGGAATGTGTGTGTCTGTGTCTGTGTGTGCCACGTGATGGACTGGCGTTCTGTTCAGCGATCCTGAACTGGATAAATCAGTTAGAAAACGGGTGGGTGGATAAATAACTCCTTTACGATTTCCTAGTCAAAATAAAATTCTATCTAGTTACAAAAGTCTTTATTTGGCTTCTTAGCTAACTGTCATTTGAAGAAAATCAGATGTGTCAAAAATCAAAGCGTTTACTGTAGTACTTTTCTGGTCCAAAGGGAAGAGTTCCGCCTTGTATACTAACTTGTATACTTTGTACTTGTAAGCACAAAGTAGACCCAGTGATATTTGACCCTCTCTGCCACTGGTATGGCTGCAGGCCAAGGAAGTCAACAAGTTGATTCCATTTTTATTGTACTGAAGTTGCCAGAGCAGACACGTTGACATACCCATGTCCTCATTTAATCTCTTGGAACTGAACCTCTGAAGTTTATAGATGTTGGCACTGCATAGGGGATTAAAATGTGAAAAGAAATCTTGTTCTCTGGCACAAGGATGAGTGTCCAGTGTGCTTGTCTTTACATGTATGTGTTCATTGGTTTAGATCACTGGGAACAAAATGACGTCGCTCAACTTGGCCACAATATTTGGCCCCAACCTGCTGCACAAGCAGAAGAACTCAGACAAAGAGTTCTCTGTACAAAGCTCAGCACGGGCCGAGGAGAGCACGGCCATCATCGCCGTCGTCCAGAGGATGATCGCCACATATGAAGCCCTTTTCATGGTGCGTAACAGCTTCATCATTAGCATTAACTTTAATAATGCACTTTATTTCGCCTTCTTTTTGAACATTGACAGATTTCAAATGTCATTTTGATATCATTCTGATATCTTCAACTACATTAGATCAGGAGTATCAGTGACAATTTCACCACATTTTTCATCCTCTACAGTATATTTATAATTATCCATCATTTCTCTTTATATTTCACTAAACTAAATGTTTGAATGAAGTTATTAAAAGTAAATTAAAGTTAGAAATGGAATTATATTTAAAGCACGCAGTATATGGAGAGACATTTTTTCTGTGTGCATACTGTAGTATCAATTACTTCAGAATAAACAGAAAAAGAACATTTATTATACCTTATCTTGCCATGCGTCCATTGCTTGCTTGGAGAGGCTCCAGCTCCCAAGCGACCCTGTAGTGGATAAAGTTACTAGAAAGTGATGGATGGATGTATTGCCTCTAATTCCTGATCTGAGAAAGTTCATTTCTTAAATTCTGAGGAGGTGGAATTTTGACTGACTTAAAGGTCTTAGATAAGGGCAGAGAATGAAGTGGGATAGGAGGTGCTCTAGCAGGTAAAGGTGGGTGAGCCATCACTGCCACCTGGGTTATAAGGAGTGTGACCAAAACGGCCACCAGGTGGGGTAGAGCGAGCATCGGTGGGCTCCTGTGGGGATTGCAGAAAGAGGAAGGAAAAGAGATAAAAACATAGACGAGTTTCCCAAAGGTGCAGTATGTAGAACACCTGATAATGGAAAAGGGGGCAGGTAGAAAAGATAGGAGATGTAAAAGATCTGACTGGGCATTGATAGCAGGAAAGGAGATTGAGAGTGAAGAAGGGAGAGAAAGGTTTAGCATAGAGATGGGAACGAGGGGCACACCCACGGGCACGGTTGCAGTAGGACTGTCTTGGGGCAACATCTTCAGGAGCTGAGGCAGAAAGGCAGAAGTTATGGCATCTGTGATCTCAGGAAAGCAGGTTGTTTTCTGTGGAGTCTGGGGAGACAGAGAGCAAAGAGTTGCATCTTGGAGTTGGAAAGGGAAAAGGTGACTTCCGCTTTTGGGCTAAATGGAGCCAAACCACTGTTGAGTTTAGAATATCTGGGGTTTTGAGGTGGAGGGCCAAGCCATGTTACTCCAGGCGTGTAACAGATGCAGTCAGGAGCTGAGTGGGTGGATAGCAGAGGGAGATCCATGGATGGGACAGTGAGGGGACCACCATGTGTGGACTGGTGGAGCTGGGTTGGAGGAAATGATTGGAGATTGGAGTGCTGCAGCTAACTGATCTGTGTGGGAGGCCAGTGAGAATAAGGAGATTCAAGTGCTGGAAGCTAAGCAATGATGCCCGTAGCTACAGAGGCTGAGGAGACAGGAGTTGCGGAGGGTCTGGTTGGGAAAAGCATTCTGAGGTGAGATAGTCAATTTCATGGAGGGCATCGTCCTCTGAATCAGTCAGGAGATCCACGAAACAATAAACAGACAGAAGTAGTGTGAATTGGAAGGATGCAGATAGGAGTGATAAGATGCAGCTGACCATAAGGTAGGTCATTCTTCTTGAGCACAAAAGATTGCACATGTGGTGGGGATGGTATTTATACACAAAAGAGTGGAAGTGGGCAAGTTTATGGTTTGCTCTCCTCTGAAGCTTTTGTTCTAAATTCCATTGATTGACTTGTGGTTAGCCTGACTTATTCAGACTACTACACTAAACTGCTCCAGCCTGTGTGTTGTAAAGTGGAACCATAACTGCACTGGAGAAGCCTTTCAGTCTGCAGTACTCACGGTGAATGGGAAAACATTTTATTATATTCATCTCTTCACTCAAGGGGATAAACTATGACATTTCTGAAGAATAGAAGAGTTATGAACAAGCCTGGTATGCTTGACGACAAACTTGACACATCAATTGTACATTCATAAAATATTCACATTACTATTTCTATTCTTATGTTGAGGAAGGGCTGGCTGTTCTACCAGCAACCTGTACAGTTTATTGGTCTAAATACATTTGGGAAATGTAAAGAAATCTTTTTTCGATACTCATACTATAAGTGATTCTGTTTCAGGAGAATAGGAATGAGTGTATTTTTCTCAGTATAGTATTAATACAACTGGTAACATGCTCGCTGGCCTGGAAGACACAGTCCTCTGAAAACAGCTTGAAGCAGACACAGAGGATAACACTGTCATAACCATATGGCATGGTTTTCTTGAGAGAGGCCCCAGGTCATATTTTAGATCATTCACTACCTGCTACTAATTACTGTAGATCTTCACGTAATTTGCAGGGGGCAATGAGGACAGAAACTCTCATTTTCTTTGTGAATCAATGTGATTCACATATTGTTGCTGAAGGCAATATCCTTGCTGCAATTATACTGAAGCTTTGGTTAGATGATGTTTTTTCCCACAGTGCCTTTTAAAGGTTTGCCGATGGTGATTGCTGATCTGCTTAAAAGATCTCATTTTGTCAGCAAAGTTATGTGTTACATTAGCTGGCAGCTTAGGTACATTTTAGTTCTATTGTAATATTTGAGAAACTTCATTTGCAGAGACTCCACCTAATTTTTGTGACTTCTTAAATCCAAGCCAAGCCAGAAATGAATTTTTCATCAACGGTTTAACCCCAAAAAGATTAATAACCTAATATTACCCAATAACCTGGGTATGTATGGACTAATTTCTGACAGGTTTAGAGGCAATTCTTTCATATACTCTATGTACCCCTAAATATCAGACTGTAGAACTACAGTACTGTATATTATTTCTCTACTATTCACTGAGTAACACGGTTCTTTAAATGATAAGTATAGACTAGTCATTTCAAAGATATTAAAACAGTATTACATCAGATATTGTGCAAATGACTGTTTTCAAACCATTCCTGTACTTGTTTTTGTAGAGTTCTTTTATATTCAAACAGCATTGGTGTTTGACGATTAGTTGTGAAAGTTTGTGGGACATTTAAAAGGTTGCACAATAGCAGTTTTCGCAGTTTTCGCAATAGCAGGTGGTGATGTTCTTAGATTTTTTCTTACTGGATTTTAGGCCTAATTCAATTCTAGACAAAGAAACTAGTTGTTAAATACACACACAGGATCAAAGCTAGGTCTTCACAGCAGTTATTGGTTCGCATCTTTTATGATTAGCTTTTACGGGTACCAAGATTTTTAAGAGCTACATGGTGGTCTGGTGTGTAAATGAATCTTCTGCAGTATCCTGTGACCTTTATTTTACTATATCTCTTTTATTCCACTTCCAGTACAGCAGCAATGATTTCAGATTTTCTCCTGAAACAAAAGATGTGTTATGCATTAAACAATCTTCCCCTTTAACGTTTTTAAAGTCTAATTTAACCTAACTGTTCTGAGGTGGGACGCCTGTGTATTTGGTTATAAAGAAACATTTTGACTGTTTCAGGACTGTTTTTTTACATTTTTGATTTATGTAGTTCTGTACAAACTGTGCCAGATGATATCTCTCACACAATAAAATTCTATCTTCATCAAAATCCTTAGTGTATACTATTATATATTTGTATACTCCAAGAAATTCGATAAAACTGCAGCAGTGGAATCTTAAGGTCAAGCTGACCCTTCAAGCTGACAGAGTTATTTGCATTATTTTAGTATTTTATTATTGCTTCTCTTAGTAACTTTAATTCTACTGTATGTTGACATGTTTTTTTAAAACTATACAAAACAAAACACATAAAAAGAAAGATTCAATATTGCTGGCAGTAGCACTCAACAACATACAGTATTATACGGTGGTAATGTTCACGTAGGTATCCAGAAACGTTTGAGAAAAAGTACGTGCACTTTAAGTTTTAGAATACGATATTGAGATGGAAACCAATCAAGGTATCAGATCCTTTCATCTTCTTCCAACTAGAAACTTATATTGGATCATTCGAAAAGTCACCAAAGAGAAATGCCAGAGTATCACATTCTTGTCCATCGTGAAATATTTTTTTTCTTAATGGAAATGTCAGAGCAGAAAACACACAAATTCATTTTGCTCTTGCATTCCTATGGTAAGACTGAGAGATGTTTTGGTTTAGGGCTTAGTGGGCTTAATACGTCAATACTGTATGTCTGTCTTACAGAAAGGAAGCATTGCTCTGTGGTGCGAGAAAAGCAGGAAAAGAGCTGGCTGAGAACAAAGGCTTAGCTGGAGTCAGTAGTAACAATAAGAACTTGAACTGGTGCCAGAGGCTTTATGAGCTAACCGAGCTTTTAATTGTTTCTTTTTTGATTTTTCCTAAAATGTATTGACAGCTTTGTAGGAGATTAACGGATTGTGGTTTCTTGGAAATGGCCTGTTTAATGGCAGTGCCTGTATAATCCGACCTTGCTTTCTCTTCTCCACACGTTGTCAACACTTTGAGGTCGGCTGAAACAAGGCTGGAGGCTGGGGTTGAAATCGTGTCCCACAGCCACTCTGTCATCTGTCCCAGTAACATTTCATCCATTTCAGTCCTTTTTTGGAGATTGTCACATTTATGAGCCTTAGAGTTTAAATGCATTATCTGATTACATAACAAAATCAAGGGAGGACATTGGTTTAGTGAGATAAGATGGCACATCTTAAAAGTTGGAGGAAATTCACTATATTTAGCTGTGCTCAAGTAAACTATATAGTGGGTGATTAGTTCACATTGGAATGAAAAGTTTTAAGAACATTTCCAAATAAAGTATGTTTGATAAATTTATTTCTAGATACTGTACTTTAAAGTGCATTCAGATCTATAAAACTTTGTGAACTATAGCCTTTTTTTTGTCTGAAAACAACAAAAGATGAATACATCCACCAAGGAACCTTTTGATCTGAGTCCTTGGAGATGGTAAACTGTACATAGTGTGCACAAAATAACAAAGAGAATGAATGGTTTGTTATCATTTACATCTGTTATACGGACCATAATATCATTGCCATGGTCGTAAGCCCCACCTCTTAAGGACGCTCCAGCCCTTTCTTGTTTATCTTTGATTTTCTGCACCTGCCTCCGGTTCCAGCCTCCTTCCTACAAAAGCCAGACGCTCCTAACAATCTAGGCTCAGCTTTGGAAGATGGATGCCCGGAAGCTCGCCTACCAGCGAGTCCAGGAGGGGCTCGACAGCATAGGCTTCGCAACGGCATCCTGACCATCTGGGTCCGGGGCTTGGTGCGCCTGGCCCCGTTACCCCTTTTTATTGCCCCGACCCTTCTCCGGATCCCGCTCCTGCTTTTAGCTTCTGTCGTGACTGTCAAGGATGGATCACCTGGCTCTGGACTTTTGATCAACCATGGATATTCCTACGGACTCCCTTCGGTCTTGTTTGCCTTGGCCACGCCCCCCTGAGCACCAGCGCCCTTGGACACGCCCCCCTGTTCTTCTGCCAGCCCCGATCCTAGTCTTTTTCCCCGTGCTTGACTCACTCCCCTCCAGATTCTGCCGTCTGCATAGGGTCCTGAAAAAAAAACGCTTCGTGACAATCATGTTTTATGATTCTATACAGGCATTATTGCTAGGTGTTATCACTTCTCATGCTAATCAAGAGGACAGAAAAGGAATTGTATGAACAATTGCACAATAACCTCTGCTGTTTGTTTCACAGGAAAGCATTGATTGTGCCATATTACATGTATGTCAAATCTTTAAACCTGGTAATAGCATCACAAAAGCAGTGAGGGAGATTTGCAATTCAGTGAGATGTCAAAAAAAATGCCTGAGGCTATTAATTACAAAGGAAACATTTTGTCTATGCTTTAGATAAATGTATACTTACATTAATATGAAGCTCAATTTTTAATTTTAAGCCATTTGAGTTGATAACACAAGCTTCTTTTAAAACCAAGAAGTCCTCTTAAAACATTGATCTGGGATTGTTGGGTGTTGAGAATCAGAGAATTGGACCAAGTTACAGAAGAGAGGAACGCAGGAAGACTTGAGAACAACTGATCAGATAGGTCAAATCAGTTTAAAATGTTGTCTGTTCTCAGTACTCACCTGGAAAAATATATCCAAAATTACATACAAATGAGAAAAGGTTTTCTGTTGCTTCATCCTTCTCTGATAAAAGTCATATGAATAAGATTGAATGTGATAAAATACACAAGACCTAGGCAGTCATTGTGTTACATACTGTATTACTCCCTTATTAGGTCCCTCCTGATCTCCAGAATGAGGTTCTCATGAGTTTATTGGAAACGGACCCTGATGTTGTTGACTATCTACTGCGCAGAAAAGCTTCACAGTCATCGTGAGTTCAGTTTTTGTCTCCTGGTCTGAAATTAAAACCTTTTTAAAAAACTACTATTCTCTTTCATAAAAACAGCTTGTGTTGATCTTCATGCCAGAGGCTGATGTTAAAGAAACTCTTGCTCTCCATCTAGTGGTTGGCTAACTTCAACACACACTTCATTCACTGTAACTATCCTGCATTTTCATTTGCTTTAGATACCTTTTTATAATCAATGTACTTTAAGAATTAGAAGTCAGCTCCCGTAGTCTGTAAAATGAATGAATTAAACAACAGACACTGTAACGGGGTAAAACCCATCATCGTCGTCTTAATTGAACGATGAAATCTTTCACAGGAGCCCAGAACTGATGAGATCAGGTGCCGCGTTCTCCCTGGCTGAAAGGCACTCCTCCACGGACTCGAATAAAATCTCGAGCGGGGAGGTGTCCCCCTATGACAACAACTCTCCAGTGCTGTCGGAGCGGCTCCTCTTTCAGCCGCACGAAGACGTCAGCCCCGGCTCAGAGAAGCTGTTCCGAGTGCCCGAGCAGTACACGCTAGTCGGGCACCTGAAGAGCAAGTCCAGGGAGCTGGCCCTGGGGCAGTGGGCTGGAAAAGGTAGAGAAAGACCATGGGTAATCCCTACCCTTCCTATTACTGGCCCTTTGTGAGATTTATTTGTGATGAACGATATTTCTTTACAAAAGCCAGGTTCTCTGTAACAATTTGGATTTTATTTCCAAATAAAAGCGTGGTAAAAAAGAAAGCTGTATGAAATCATCAAATAACTGTACATCTACAAATGAAACAAATGAAACTAGTCCACAGGCAAATATGTAGTATTTTCATGTGACAGCACGTTTGAACAAATGCCAAAGTACTTTCATGGCACCTAAAAATGCGCTGTTTAAGGAATCTAATGGCTGTAAAAGTTGCCAAGAATAATGAAGGAGAAATTGTGCACTCCTAACTGTTCTCAATGAAGCATTTAACCCTAACACATAATGAACAAAGTTTTTCCAATCCCTAGTAGAGCTCTCCAGCTGGGCTTTCAAATTGCTTTTTATGAGCTTCTCCTTAAAAAATAAAATGATAAAATCTGTTGGCTCGTGGAAAAGAGCACTTTGTACCATGACCTCTATGAACAACTTTAACATTCTTTTGTGGTTAGGATCTTCATTGGCCTATGCAAGATGTGTTTATATACTGTATGTTAGGTCTCGTTAAATTGAAAAAAGATCTACCATGAAAACATATTTACTATTAAGCTGTTTGTAATTTGTGACCGTAATATTTGGGAATTATATCAATACCTAATGAGACAACTTTATCTTGTAAAGCTGTACTACTGTAAAGAACATATTTTATGTAAATGTTTAATACACTATAGGCCCCTGGAATGAAGCTGACCTCCAGCACAGTTATGTCCAGCTCATGAGTATAAGAGACTTTTCTCCCCTCAGCCCTTTGAAAAAGTCAGGCAGGTGAACAGGAGAAATATACAGTGCTTCACAAAGATATTCATTCCCTTCTAGTGACATCCCATTTTGTTGAATTACAAATGATGTATCAGAAACGGCAAAGAAAAATAAAAACTAAAATTTGTTAATTGCTAAACTATTCACCACCCTGGGGCAGTACATGGAGTCTTCTTTTGCAGTGTTTGCTGACATTTGATTTTTACCACTTATAAAAAAGTTCAGTTTGAGCACATTGATTTTGATTAAAATATTCATTTAAAATATATATTATGTACTGTAGAATTCAACAAAATGGGATATCATTGAAAGGGGGTGAATATTTTGCAAGACACTGTATTTAAATTTAAGTTGTTTACCATCTTCACCATGGTTTAAGAATTGTAGAACTTGGTTACCAACAGGTGCAACAATCACGACAACATACAGTATTTAACAGAATTTTCTCCATACAGGGGGCACATAGCATAGACAGTTAATTTAATTTTATTTAGAATTTATACAGTGTATTTTGGCCTTGTCAATTGACTATACTGGAAAAAACAAAACAGAAAGGTACAGAAAGGCTAGTTTGTTTTTTGAAAGTTTCTTGTTTGTCAGCAACACAGATTCTACCTCTTTAGTTACAGTTTATATGATTAAACAGTATACATTATAAATATTAATCATTTAATTCGACATTAATATTTACTAAAAGGAACACAGTTGTGTGTGAATCTCGCTTAAAAGTGCACTAAGTACAGAACAAATATGGTTCTTTTTTCTTCAGATATTTCAGATGAACACAATAATATTTGGGGAGCCTGGCATTCAACACTGAGGTCAGGTTTGAGGCAACCAGGCCTTTCAGGTATAATGTCTTTAGCACGTCTCAATTATTAGGGGAAAAGGTGTTTGCTGACAGCCTTGCAGAACTCACTCTAGATACTGGTTCTGGTTTCTAATTGATAAAAAAAGGATTAACAAAACCATTGTGGAATTTTGTAAGATAAAAAACTGGAAACATGCTGTAAGTGTTGAGAAGCTCCAAAGAATTCTGACTCTAACTTTTACTAACACTTCCTTCCCTTTTTTAATACAGTATACCAAGAGTCATTAAAAACAAAGGGTTTCGATTCCAGTTCTTCTTCAGAAGTATTTATTCACAAATCATCAGTAAAATAATTTCATTAACTTCATTTACAATAATACATTTACAGCACCACTTCATGAACAATAAATTAGCAACAAGCCATCATTTGTAATGCAGCATTCTGTAAATGCCAGAATGGTTTGCAGAAGTAGATATGTGAATGCAGTCGTGACAATGTTCACGTGTAACGGCACCTATTCCACAAATGCTAAATAGTCCACATGTCGTGTCATGTGGGTATGAACACATGCCAACAGAAATTGGCCAAAAATGAATTGGCACAAGGTTGTCTTCCGTGATGACTTATGACTCAATCTGCCCTGGCACAACAGCAGCATGTTGTGTTGTGTTAATTGATGGCTCCTTAATTGCACGACATTGTTTCTTGCTACATTCATTTGTTATGTTTTTAATGCCTCTCAGTATATCTGCCAATTCATGCTAACTTCATGATAGTATTATGGTCTTCTGCTTAATACGAATTACTGGGATTTATGCTTCTGTTTTGGTTTTGTTAAATGTGACAGTTTCCTAAGCTAACAAGACCTTTGGGCTCTTAGTAGTTACAGTATTTGCATCTACATTAGTCCACACTTTTGTAGGTGAGGACCATTGAAAGTCTATGTTGTCTCTGCATGACAGTGAAATGAGTTCTGAATACGAATAATTATACGTGTGTGACCATTCTTTATTAAACATCAGAGTCCAAGGAGCAGAGTTCCCTAATATCATGTGTCACCCTTTTGAATTTTATGATGTGGAACTAATAGAACTGAGAGCAGAGACACAAAGACTTGAGATCTCACAAAAAGATGCATGCCACCTAAGTTTACCTAAATCTTTAGTTAGTGATTTAGTGTTTAGCATGTCATCTTCAATAAACCTTTGATCTGGCCTTGGCAAATGCTTTTGTCTTTTCACTCTTCAATATCCACTGAAAAGAACATCTATGTCAGTGTTTTAGTAAGAAATCAAAACGACCACTCGTGTTCATTTTTTTTAAAAAAAGAGAGAATATAATGTACTCCTCTTGATATCAGAAGATGTAAGAAAGCTTTTTTTTGGTCTTAGGTTCTCATGGAAACGTATGCGAGTTTGGATCGGTACAAGAAGGATGCTGCTACTCCTCAGGCAGACTGACGCTGGAGGGGCTGGAGAACCAGATTGTGGACAATGGGAAGCAGCCAGTGAGACGGACACAAACCACAGCTGGGGTCCCGGAGTGCAGACCTCACCCTCCCGTTACGAGGGCCAGCAGCAGCTCACAGGCTGAAGGAGGCAAGAAGCACATCCAGCCGAACCCGGAGGGGCACTCGGCTTCGAGCAGCACGGAGGACATCCCGCAGAGAAACTTACATCCCGCCAGCCTGCAGTACAAGCCGAAATCAATGTACGCTCGGATTGGGGACCTCAACAGAAACGAGGGTAGACCTCCTCCGCCGTACCCTGGGCATTCTAGGCAAACCCTGACTGGCACCCCGCCTCTCCAACCACAGCAGTCTCCGGGGCCGCCAGCGCACGTGGCGGAGAGTCGGCTCAGGACCGAGCCCGCGGCGCCCAGGGGCACTTCCGCAAGCCTGTCCGGAATGAACTCGGAGCGGCTGAGCCGTGCCCCCAGGCCCGACCCCCTGAAAGCTGGCTCAGGTTCCAGTGAGAGCCAGAACGATAAGAACATGTCAGGGCAGGACTGGCAGGACTGGCAGAGAGAAAGGTGGCAGATTTGGCAGCTTCTATCGTCTGACACCACAGACACGCTGCCGGAAACTCTTGTCTGAACCACAGCGATGTGTGTACAGTATATACAGTACGTGTCTATGTGTCTGAGCAGTTATCATATTGTCTCTATGGTCATTTTTATTTTAAATGTAACTTTTTCTACTCTTTTTTTGTTTTTACTTGTTGTCATACAGTATGATTTTTCGGCTCTAGTTTATTTTTGGGTTAATTATCTTAGATATACCTCACAAGAGATGAGCAAAATCCATTACCGTCCTTAAATACAGACATATAAAATATGTCATGTTTTTAGCAAGTGAATTCTGCCAAAACTGCTAAGAGAAACTTTGAATTCTGCCAAAGGCTACTTAATATACCTGTGTGTGTATATTTCTGAGTACTGAGTATTTAAAAGTAATTTGTCTTATCGCCAGAGTCCCGAGTGCCTTAATAAGTTATACGTGACCTGTCACAGTGCTCTGTTTTGAACAGTTCTTCATAAAACAGCCATCTTGCCAATGAAAAGGCCATACTGTAGCTTTCAGACAAAGGACCTTACAGTAAATGTACAGTCCTGCAGTCACAGAAAAAATTGTTCTTACCCTGTGTTGAACATAGTGTGTGCTAACATGTTCTTTTTGAAACAGGATTTTTTCAATTATATTTTGGGGAAAACTCCTACAATTTTTGTCTTTAAGGGCAAAGGGGTGGTAACATTTGTCCTCCTCTACCTGTGGTATTTTCCAGTAATTTCTCTAAATTCCTTGGGGAAAAAATAACATTGGAAACTGTCTTTTGAAGAATTTTAACTACAGCTGTAGTAAGCAATACGTGCAAGAGAAAGCTGCCTGAAAGCTGGCATGTAATTAATGGCCTTAATCTGTGTTCATGGGATTTCATAAAAAAAGAAAATACAAAATGGGCAGTTCTTAACATATATATTCAAAAAATGTATACAAATATTTTTTTTTAATTAGGAAAACATTTCTCTTTGATTTTGATCTCAATGCCTTGGTATATTCGAAAAACAGTGTAAATGATAATTGAGGACAAACCAAGACTTTAAGAAATTTAAGAAAGTGGACTGTGCGAGTGGCTGCTTCTTTTTCCTAGTGTCTATATTTGTTTGTAGGATGACAAATTATAAATCTATATTTTTTTCTTTTAAATGTAAAAAAATTGCCTACCTTTTGCTATCTGTTTTGGTGTGGCAGGGAAGTCTGGTTGGTGTTCATGGTTTGTTATGGGTTAATAAGCGAAATCCATAGAATATGAATGTATTTACACTGTCTTTGATCCTTATTAATATTTTAGTATTTTATGGCTGCTCTGTTTTGTCCAGCATTGGTTTTCTGGATCCAAAAACTAAACACATTTAGAAATTTTGAGACAATTTAGAAAAAAATATTTTGTGTATAGATGTGATGAAGCTATACTTTTGATCTACAATATATTTTGTAGTCATTTCACAATATCGAAACATGTCTTAAGTCAAATGTTATATACAGTACAGTATCTATAAATGTCTAAAGGTACTTTGAAATATTTTGAACATTCTGAAAATAACTGAACTGATTCAAAGTATTTTCGGAGTGGCAACGATCTCCTTTATTAAAAAAAGATCTCTCAAAATTACCAAGCTTTTTGCAAAGATGAAAATGGGAAGATCCAAGGAGGCCATTTGTGTTATGTGTATCTTGTAAATGTAAGCTATGGGAAAATGTACAAATGGCTCTTATGTAGTAATGGCTGTATTTATAAGCATTTTATTTTCAAAGTGTATATTATGTAATAGTTTTGATTATTAATTCTGTATTATTTTGCCTAAAACAAGAACAATGTTGACTATTTCAATTATGTTGCACTTATTTTATTGTCTTGGTAATAGTGCACAAGCTGGTTTCTGTGCTTCGATATATTTGTGAGTATCATAAAGTTCGTTTAATTCTGACTAAATAGTCTTTTTTTATACTGTATATATTAAGGACCAGTGTATATATATACAAAATATATATGGTGCAGTATTAATTAGTTCTCCCTATTTCACCACACTGGAGAGAAGAACCATCTAGACAATCTTCAAATTCCGCTTTTTTGTTTACGTAGAAACAAAGACAGCAGCTACCAATATCTGTGTTTTTTTTGCCAAATTTGACCTGTGAAGAGGAGATACATATGGGCCATATGGACATTACAAGAACATCTTTCAGGGTTACAGTGTGCTGAAATACAGTAGCAAGGAAAAGTGAACTTCTTGAAGTTACTATAAATTGTGGGAGTAAATATTTACAGTAGCTCTTGGTGTTTCAGAAAGCTCAAGAGCTACCTAAACAAATTTCTTATGCTGATTTTTGTGTAAATATGCCCCTTTCCCAACTTATGTGAGGGCCCCGTTGCACACGTCTGTACATAATCTGAATTTGACATAAGGCAGGAGCGACACCTTATTACTGTACGTGTTGCATGAACACATAAAGAGAATTACCAGTCTTGATATTTATAAATAAAGACAATTTGCCTAGTGAAAAATCATTTTAAATCCATTTTATTAGAATAATAACATAAAACAATTTCTAATAAAAAATATAGCAATATCACACATTTGAAAATATACACTACAAGAAATTATAAATCAAACATTGGAACAAGGGAAATTGCTTTTACCTGGTTTGTGCCATAAATACTATAATTTTAATACCATACACTTTATGTTCAGTAATTAAACACAAAATACACAGTCAACAATAAAAATATTACAATCACTTGGGTGCTTCCCTGATATGATTGCAATAGAGATTACAACATCATTTGTGGTTCCAGTGTGTTTTAAGAACAATCAGATTCATTATTCATTATTCCCTGCGGATGGGTCTAACCATGGATGCTAACTTTGACTTCATATACACAAACTGAGGTCAAAGTGACCTCACATACACAAAGCTGAAGTTTTGTATATACCGAAACACTTCAGAAACAGTTTTTTCACCCCTTGAAAAATGTTAAGGCCTGGTTTTCCATTCTGTGCTTCATCAAGCGGAGAATGAAAAGTGCCAAGGCATTTATTTATTTTTTGCAGATAGTTGTGCTCACAGGTTTGCCATTTTTAAGCATTCTGCAATTATACCGCGGGTCAGTAAATGAAAAAGGACCTGCGGAGGCATTGAGGAGTTGCTCATCCATCATCACTCAACTCCAGCAGCACAACCAATTGACAAGAAGCACCCATGTTCAAGCCAGAAATACACAACTGTATCACAGCCCACGGGGAGCTAAGAAAGTGTGATCTTCTACACAGCCACTGCAGAGACACTCTTTGCTCACAAAGCCACTGACACTCTCTGTACAGCGAGCCATTTTAACAGAGTAAGACCCATCCATCTATCGATCCAGTGTCTAACGGCATCTAATTATTTACCAGTAATTCCAAGTGCAGTTTCGTGGAGTCACGTCTTTACGCGGAGAGCTGTGGGAGTAAGAAACAAGCTGTCCAGCCATGTTGTTCAAGCGAATTAATTCCAGAAGCAATTAGATACTGAAAATCCAAATGAGCCAAGCGGGCTAAACAAGCATCTTTCATTTCTAACCTTTCATACAGTCAGTTCCATTTTTTGCCACTTCAATGTGCTTTCCTATGGTCTAGGTCAATAATGTTGTTATTACAATCACAGTTAACCACGATCAATTGCCAGTCAGAGGTTACAGAGTTGTTGTCAGTCCCACTGGACGTTCTGAGCTTTTATTGTCCTTATTTGGCAATTTACTGTAGTTCTGAATCAATGTTGAAATAAAGGAAGGAATTATATTTTGAGGGTTTCAGTAAGACAACATTGACTTATTTTTTTCAGTTGGTTGCGTTTCCCATTTTCCACTGATTATATATAATATTTATACAGATGTCACGGTTTAATATTTACAAAAGAGAAGCAAGTAGCTGCAATTCGTGCTTCCTTTTTATTTGACAAAATTGTGTGTGATGACATCCTCCCCACCAGTAGAGGTCCCTCATATCATTTTAATAGCTGTTGTGTAACGTAAAACAGAAATTTACCATTTGTAAATTTACGTACGTGTTTTTAAAAGTTTTATCTAAACAATAAATTCACATAAATGTATAAAACTTTTAATACCTTTAGTACCTTTAATATTTTGTTTTTGCATTAATATATAACATTCCTGAACACATATAATGACAATTCCATACGGGAGCTACTTTTCAAATACGGTCAGAGATGGAAGTGTGAGAAGAGAGAACAGCAATGTCCTTTCTCAAACGGAAAAAAAAACAGCTTTAGTAACGTGGGAGTAGTTTTCACAACGAAATGATCCAGAAAACCTGTAGCCATTGTCATGACCTGGATTCAGAAACATTAATTAAATCCCACAACTCAGACATGCGCTTGAGCAGGTGAGGAACACGTTTATTTGTACTGAGAGATGAAGTAATTGTTAATGATTTCAACAACATTCAGTTCTCTGTTTCGTTTGTGGTATTTTATAAAATATGTACGACATATAGTAATTTACACCCGTGTAAATTGCACATTTATGGAATGTAAATACTAGTAACTTTTAAGCATGTACTGTATGAGACAAAAGTAATTTGGGAATATTTTTAGACAAAATAGAGAGCCCAGACTTTACTTTAACTGTCTCCCACATTACATACACGGTCAAACTCAATAAACTGAGACATATGGAACTATTTTTTTATTTAGAACATTGAAAGATTAGGATGTACTAAGGATTAAACTATAGAACGAAAGCAGGATGTTCTGTACAGCAGGGGAATGATGAACATTCCTCTGCATTATATTATAGTAAATATATAGATTAAGCCTGTAGAGAGCGCTGGGTGTGAACTTTTCAGACTCTCCAGAACCAAACCTCAGCAAGCATTTTTCAAAGCATTTTGTGCTAGCAGAAAAACAGCTGTAATGGCAGGCTCATTGGGTTTGTTTTCATCTTGGGAAGTCTGTCTGAGTGGAATTTGCAGGTTGTCCCTTTGTGTGTTTTCTTTGTGGGTTCTCTCTTTTCCTCCAGACTCCCAAAGACTTGCAGCTAGGGGTATGAATGTGAATATAAATGGTACGTTTATGGGGGTGGGGGACTTTGTGTCAGTGGCCTTTCATATTTGGGGGGCTTGTTTCAAGTATTACATGTTTTACGTACAGTATGAGACTACAGAGTATCAAAATCTAATGGGCAACACAGGATAAATAACCCCCTTTCAGATGTGACAAATCTGATGAAAGAAAGAGAAGGGCTGCCAAGCTGTTATTGTTGTTTAATAAAACTTTGGTTAATTAGCAGTCCTACTACAGTATATAAAACAAAGCTTTTTCCACATCTTTGCAAAGTATGGAGTTTTTAAACTCAAGAATGTGTAACCTTGCCTGCTTCTGATCTCCTTCTGGCATCACAGAGCCTGCAGGAAACTGCTGAGTCTCCCAGCAGTTGGTTATCATGGCGAGGAGTCTACGTATTCCAGTCACGCCAATTTGCTTGCAATTCTGCCAGCAGCTGAATCTGATTTCCTCCAAGCCAGTCACATCAGTCTGACCTCCACACCTCCAAAACAACTTGCTTGCTCAAGGTGCCATGATGTCTGCCACCTCTTCTGATTAGGATTTGGCTGAGCTGTTCCACAGAAACCCACCCACTGCCTCACTAGTTCTACATTTCCACTGTGTAGCGCAATCATCAGTCTCGCTATGCCTGTTCAGAAAAGCAGGACAAACCACTTGGTTCATGACAGTAGTCATCGCTAATGCCCTTAAACATTACCAGCACTAGACCTCAGGCAACTCATAGAGTGTGCTAGTGAGGAAAAAGTATTTCACAGTCCATCTTTCTTCCTTCTTGCAGAACTCCTCTGCTCCATCTTCCTTCATTTATTTACAAGTTCCCCTCCATGCTTCTCTGATGACATTCTCATTGATGTTTTCCAAACTAGAGCTCTTTCAACCTTGACTTGGTTTTTCAAATGTCTGAGTTCTCTTCAACACAGAAAAATCAATTTACTACTTGGGTCTCTAGGGATCATCTTCGATTCTAGGTTTTGCACCTCTTTGCCACAAGCCACGCTTGGCAGCTTTAAGACAATTCAAGCCACTTTCTTCTGCTCTTATTGAACACCAACTCTTAAACCTCTTCCTTCATTTAAACTGTTCTACGCACATTGTCTCTCAGTCCTACTGTCTATCATCTCGTTTGTTACCCTTATTTGCCCTCACTCATAAATAATTTTCTAAGGCTTATTGTGTTCCAGATCTCTTCTTTCATTTGGTCAATTTGCATCTGTTGAGCACATCCTCATTGCTACAGTATAATAGCTTTAGCTTCCAGAATTTAAGAATGCTACATTGGTGTCGTGGGGTTTCTTTCACCACTTTTAGGGGTCATGTTAGCTGTGTTATCATGGGGGCAGGTAGCCAATTTTTCAGCTTCATTCCTTAAATTTGTTCTCTGTGTCGCATTCATTAGGATTTTGCCAAAATAATGATTTTCTTTTTTAAACAGAAGCTTTGGAGAGTACCAGAATACTCATCTCATCTACTTCTGCTCTCCAACACTTAAATGTATTGCCTTCCAAGAACCCTTTTTGCACTTCTTTCTTGCACCTTATCTTCACCCTTGTAGCAGCTCCCTAGCTCATTCCTCATGAAGAAGGTGAGGGGTGGGGGGGGATCCTGTAAACTGCATCCTCATGGCAGCGTGCCATTCCTTCAGCTAGCTCAGTTGTGCCAAGAAAAGTTCCTTCTCCACTTGGCATTAATTAGGATTTGGCTGAACTACTGAAAAAGTGCAACATGACAGCAGTCACTGAAAAACTTGAACTCCTCTACTGTTACTGTGCCCTTCCTGCTTGCTGCTCTTAAAATTGCCACTTGGCTTTTGTTAAGCATGGCTAGTGGCTTTCTCATGTTCGCATTAAGTGCTACCCTGTTGAGT